AATTATTATAATATTTATATTATATTATTATAATATTTATAAATTATTAAATTGTCCATAAAAAAAATAATTTTTTGTAATATTTATTGAGTAATTGTTATAGAATCCCATTTAAAATTGCTTTATATGTTCTTTTATGAATTTTTATAAAAACATATCATTTTTGATAAAAATAAAATATTATTTAAAAATTAAAAATATTAAAAGCTTTAAATTAATCTTAAAACATAAGGGAAAAATTTGGCTTTTGGATTCATATTTAAGACGAATAACTTTAGAAGAACTAGGAACTCTTTAAGAAAAGTAAGATTAATACAAAACAAAATGTTGGATGAATGTTTTATATTGGATAATATTTTAAGTAATTTAAACTATTTCACTTTATTTCTGTTTTGTTTTATCTGATATAAATCTTATAGAATCAATCTATAAGAATCATCTACAAGAATCTAATAAATAAATCTCAATTCTCAAATCTCAAAAAATTTTTATATATTAATTTTATTTTTTTTAACTTGGAATCGATCCATAATGTAATGTATAAAATGCATAAAATATATTAATTATATTTTACTTATATTTATTGTAACGTTCTAGATATTATTTGTTTGATTCTTATTTTCATTTATTACCATTATTTTTTTTTTATTTCATTATATTATCATTATTTTTTTCTCTATAATTAAAATATATTTTTTTCTGTAATTTATTTAAAAATAAATATTAATAAAAATTAATATTAAAAAATAAATAAAATATATAAATATATATTTAATTATTAATAGTTTTTATAATTAACATATATTTAAATTATATTTTAATAATTATTTATAATTTCAGTTAAAGAAGAAGATGATCACATGTCGCAGTACTTATTGTCCATTTGATCTCTTTTCTGGAGTAGAAACACGCATGAAATCGGCACTAAAAGGATTATTAAAGTCACCTCAAAATAATTTAAAAATTTTTAAGAATGGTATTCTAGTCTATGATCAAGAATCATCTTTGAACGATCTTGAATGTGCCTTATCTGATTGGTTTCGTAATTCTGTTAATTCTACCAAGAAGGAATACATTGATAAATTCTGTAATTTAATTTGTACTGCTCTTTTACATCCATTTATTTTGGAAGAATATAAGTCTAACATATTTTCTTCTTATGAATTATATACATCTCTCGATACACATGATTTAAAAACAACTTCTTATATTAATACAGATCTAATTGCAAAAACTAAAAAATTTTTGTATTTCGCTGGAGAGGTAAATATTAAATAATTTTGTTACTAAACTTAATTACATTTAATTATAAATTTTTTAAATATCAAAATAGGATACATATTAAATATTTTTAATTTTTAAAAAATTATAATAAAATTTAAAAATAAATCATAAATTTATATTTTTTACAGGCGTGCGATTTAAAGGGTGAAATATTGCCAAATAATTCAGTGCTAGAACGAATTCTTCGTATGCAAAGGCTACCCTTTATTAGTTCAGAATATGTTTATAATACATATTCAAAATTTTATTCATTATTAAATGATGATATAATATATACTAATATGATAAATATGTTTAAATTTAACGATCATCGAATATCTTATTTCAAACAAAAAGTAAGTATATAAAAAATGAAGTAAATAAATATTAGATATTCATTTAATTAATATGTAATATTATAATTAAATAGAATTTAATTTCAAAAAATACTAGTGGTCGGTTGAGGTAACATTTCGTAGATATTATAGAAATAAAAGATAGTAGATTATAAAATCTCAACTTCGATAACTGATGAATTCAGAGTTCCAATTATTAATTAACATTATTAAATATACCGACCGCTGATTAAAAAATAAAGTTTAACCTAATTCAAATTTAATACTTATGAAAAAATTATCCATTCTACGCAAATTAATTTTGTTTCTTTTTTTTCAAAACCATTGGAAAAAATTCATTAAAAAATATCTTAAATGCAACAAATTTCTTTAATTATTTTTATATTCGTAAAATTGTATTAATTATCAATTGTAACATTTAATAGTGCCAAACTATATATATATACATATGAGAATTTATATCATTTGAATGTAATATTGTAATGTATAATATAATATATAATATCACATAATTTCTGAATAATTATCAATTAAGATTTCATATTTCATTTCTATTCTCTATCACCAAATTTATTTCAATAGATCATAACAAAACAATCTTTTTTCAGAAAACTATTACAGAAAATCCTGAAATATTAAAAGAAGCTTATATACAAACATGTGCCAAAGATATTTCCACTTCAATAAGATCAAAGTTTGATGACGATTATAGTAGCAACAAACATATTAATGAATTAAATGAAAATATTTTTCTTATACAAAAATCAATCTTAATACCAATGCACATTGAAAAAAATAATTTATGGTACAATAAATATAGCACAATACATAATGAAAATAATATACACGAAAAAGAAACATATTTAACTATAAATACCGAAAGTTTATTATGTTTGCAAAATTATTTATTGTTTTCATGTGCTAGAGATTGTTCGATATTAATGTCATTTCGAGAAATAAATCCGTAAGTGCCAAATATTTTATTCTGTGAATAGTGACTAATTATATTATTAATTGTTGATTATTGATTGATTAATGCTATTACCGATACTCTGATAAAAAATTATTATATTATATAGAATTATCTATATTTTACATAGAATAATTTAAAATAAAATTTTTATATTAATATATTTTATATATATATATATATATAAAATAATAAATAAAATAAAATTATATATATATA